ATAACTCTTAAAAATTAACTTAAAAGGAGAATACTAGTTTACTTAACTAGTTAAAATAATTACTAGAATAATAAAAGGAATAAAACTCCTATTAGAAGAAGAATATAACTTCCTTTGCGAATTTTATTTATATCCTCTATATAGATACTAAGGTATTAAGAAAATACTAAAATAACTATAAGACCAGGGATATAAATTAAAAAAGAAAGATATAAAAGATATTATTAAATAATATAACCTCTATATAAGAATAAAGGCCTAGAGATATAAACCTTATAGATAATTATAATTATTACTAGTAGTATAATAACCTTAGGATTTAATTATAATAGACTTTATAACCAAATTACCTTTATTAGAAGAACCCTTAATTGGAATCTTCTATAATAGTATTATAGTTATTATTAATTAACTTATAAAATTCTCTTACTATCTATCCTATAGAGAAGTAATAGATGCAGAAGAACTCTCTTATATTTTTTATTAATATATTATTAGTATATATAGGTTACCTATAGAAATCCTTTCGGATAGAGGACCTATGTTTATAGTAATATTTTAGTAATTACTTATGGCATAACTTAGATTAAACCACCGACTTATAATAGCATTTTAACCACAAGTTAATAAATAAACTAAATAAATAAATCAAGTACTTAAATAATACTTATAGTATTATATTAACTATAAATAGAACGATTAGGTTAAGAAACTACTAATAGCCTAACTTGCTTATAATATTACTTATAATAAAAATATAAAGCTTATACTAGCTTATACTAACTTCGGATTTACACCAAATATATATTATAATATATAACAAGAGAAATTAGTTAACCTAGCCGCCATACTTAAAAGTGATGACCTAAAAAACCTATACGAAGAAATAAAAACAGAACTTGAATTTATTAGAAAATATATAAAAAACTACTATAACCTAAAACGGTTAAAGGGATTAACCTTTTTAGAGGGAGATATAATCTACCTAGCCACAAAAAACATTAAAATAGACCAACTAATATACAAATTAGACTATAAATTCATCAGACCTTATAAAGTATTATAGAAAATCTTAGAAAATAACTATAAACTAGACCTACCACCGAAAGTTAGGCTCTATCTAGTCTTTTATATTTCACTACTTAAATCAGCAGCAGATATAATATAAGTCAAAATAGGCAATAAGCTATAAGAAATCATAAGACTAGAAGTCTATAAAGCAGAAGTAATTAGGAAAATAGATATAATTAAAGAATAAAGAATATACCTAATTAAATAGAAAAACTACCTAGAAAGCAAAAATACATAAGAACCACTAAAATACCTCCTTAATGCCTAGTAACTCCTAAAGAACTTCTACTAGTATTAAATAAAGGAGAAGTATTAAGAAAATTATTACCTAAACCTAGAGCAGACTAGTTAATATTATTAGGAATATAATCTACTTAGAGATCTTAAAGTAATATATCCTTATGTATATCTAAACCAGATAAGATTATATCCTGCTAATCTACTTCCTAAAGGCCATAATAAGTAGCCTTAGACTATTTTTCTTTTATATAATTATAAATCTTACGAATCTGCAATAAATAACTAGTAGCCAAAGCTAAATAAGACTATAATACTATTATTTCCTCATAAAGTTTAAGAAGATCTTTACTTACTTTATCCTTATTATTCTCTAATTTCTTTTCTTATTTTATTAAATTTATAACTACTAAAGTTAATAAAGAGAAAAATAATAAAATAACGCATAATGACTCACGAGAAAATACAACACAGGTACTATTATAGGACTTCTTAGCCTAAATATATTCGCTGTAATAGGCAGAATTAGCAGATATTAGATATTTCTTACCTGCCTAGAAATAATAAGTATAAGGCATATCAGCTTCTTTATTAGCAAACTTAACGGAAAGCGCAAATATCTAGATTTTATAATCCTTATAGGATAACTACTTAAAAACACAGTTAGATATTGCAAGATATAATAATAAAAGGTTCAAGTTAGACCTTACTGAAAGAAGAATAATATTAGTTAGGATAATAGGCCTTAGGGGCAAGACCACCGAAGGGGAGAGATTATATTATAATCCCAGCAGTTATATCATATATACCCTATAACTTTCTCTACTTAACCTACTAATTAGGAAAGGACTAACACTTATAGGACTAATAGCATTCCAGGACCATATTACTCCAGGACTAATAGCAACCTTATACTATATTACTCCTATAGAACTATATCTAAGTATATAGATTACATTTATTTATACTTTTATAGATTCTAGCTTACTAGCTATTAATAAAACTTCTTTATATTAATTAAGCCTAATATGCATTAAATCTACTATTAAGAGATATAACACTCCGATAAGCTTAGCATCACGCCCTATGCAATCTGCTAATAATAAACCTAGCACGGCTTAGTTTAACATAGTTAGACTCCAACCATTACAATAAGTTAAATAGCTATACTCCTACTATAATACTAATTAAGCTATTTAATAAGATAGATATTCCTTATATTACTAAATAGGCAGATAATAAGCTAAGCCGCCTTATTAGCCTTATTTAGATTTTTTCCTATTATTTCTAGATATAAAAGCAGTTTCCTAAGGTTATTAACTCTAATAATATATATAATACTAACTGCTTTAAGCTTCTATTATTCTAGGTAATAAAATAAACTTACCTTAGTTTTATCTTTAATATAGCTTTTAATTTAATTAATAATAAGAGATAAGAGGGGTTCTAATTCCTCTTTAAGAGTATTTAATAACTAGTAGAGCAGTACTTTATTTGCTAATTAGATATTATTATTACTAACTTTAATAATTAAATAAAGGCCGCCTTAAATAATTAATTCCCTAATATATAATAGCAGCTTTATATTTATTATATTAATTTAAATATCTTATTTAAATTAAAGTAAAAATAAATTAAGGGCTATAATAGTAGTAGTAGTCCTAATAGTAGTAATAAGGATAAGTTTACTTTATAAATATAAGCTAAGCTTAGCCTAAAAGACTAATAGTTAATCTATATATTAATATCTAAGGATATTTCTTATAGTTATTAAGGGGTTTTTATAATATAAAAGCTTATCTTATTTATTAAGACTAAGGATATTTATAAGAAGGCATAAAGAAACCTCTATAAGGAATTTAATAATTAGCAGGCTACCCTTTAGTATTTCTATAAAACCTATATGCCTATAAGGGCCTAATAGGTATATTATTTTATCTATAAATATTATAACTTTAGTATTTATATTACCTTTGGCATAGAAGTAAGTAATAATAATATTAAGAGCTACCTTTTAAATAATATAAGCTACTTATATTAACTTATTAAAGCTATATAAGATATAATAAAGGACTAAGAGTAAGACTTTAATAATACTTATATAGTAAATAAGATACTTACTACTTATAAGTATATAAGATCTAGCTTAAAGTATTTAGGCAAACTCTAAATAGTAATATTATTAAAGGGCCTTAAGCTAATTAATAAGTAATATTACTTAGCTTATAAAGTGATATTAACTAGTAAGAATTTATTCCTAGAGCCTCTTAGGGGCTATAATAATAACTATTTAATCTCTGTTAAGCTTAGTATATCTTATTACTATAAGGCCTACTTAAGGTTAGGGTCTACTATACCCTTTACTAAGTAGGAGGTCTATTTATAATAGTAACTATAAGAGCTATCCTCTTAAGATTTATATTAATAGATTCTTAACCCTAAGATTACTACTACTCTCTATAGCAGGCCTAAAAACACTATATAGGCTATTTTAGTAAGGCTAGCTATTAAAGCAAGTAATTAGCAAAGTAATTAACTAGCTAGCCAGGGCCTATTAAGATATATATAAGGTTAACTACTAGGTAATCTAAATAGGTTAACTCTAGCCAGAGTAAAACTTAATATAAGCTAATATACTAATAATTTAAATTAGCGCCAGAAACACAGCCAGTTAGGTATCCTTAGAGCAAGGAGAACTACAAGAAGACATACTAGCAGATAGAAGACATAACCTAGTATTCAGAGATAAAAGAGTTAATAGGAGCTACTTAATAGCAATAAGGAGATTCTTCCTTCTATAATAGTAAGAGGAGATATAAATAGCTACTCTTAATAGAATTAGCCTTATTTTATAGGTATTAAAAATAATACTTTATTTTAATAGCTAAATGTAAACTATTCTAATAGGCTGGCTTAGTCTGGTTACTTCTGCAGAGATCTAGGCTTATTAAGAGAGCCGGCTTTACTGCCTTTTCTTAAAGGTATTTATAGATCTACGAAATTTAGCCTAATCAGGTATTACAAAAAGTCATACCCCCCTAAGGATTATGCCCGCGTATTAATTCGTTATGCCCCCCTATTAATTGCCATATAATAACTTTAAATATAATAAACAGTCTATTACTTTAGATATTAAGCCGCTTAATTTAAGTGCTCTTAATAAAGAGCTAATTAGAGTCTAGAAACACTCTACCTCAATCAATAAAGATAATTTCAGTGGGATCGACTTTCATGATTCTAGGCGGTTGCTCTTCTGGATGAGTGCAGTAACCCTTCGACTGCAGAAAGTGTCACAACCACGCGACCTCGGTTGGGAGTGGGAGATCACTGATCAACAGGGAAGAAAGGTAGGAGGCATATCGGAGTATACACTCCCAAGCAGCACCGGCGAGGGGAACCATTGTATGATCGTTGTCTCTCGCGTCCATGACGAAATTCGAGTGGACAAGGTGCTCCCGGAATTGCATGTCCTTGTATTCGAGTGGGATGATGTGGAACAGCGGGTTGCGCACCGTATTGGAACGGGGTCTGTAGACGAAGCTGCTTGGGTTAGAGCTGAACCTGAGTGGATCAAGGTGACTTTGGCTTAAGAGCTTGTGGTACCCCCGTGGTGAAGGTGGATAACAGTGAATTTGAGAGATGACGGCTTGCCTCAGGAACCTCCCTAGTTCTGGGGGATAGCCTCTTACGCATTAATCAGCTGGATGTTGCCCTCTCTGACTCATAAACCAACATCCATGAAGAACAAAAGCTCCCCAGTGATATGGGTGCCTTGTGTCAATGTTGCGACGCAGCGCGAGTACCGCCCTCTGGGACACCTCGGCCAAATCAATGATAGCAGCATGACCTCCCACGTCAGTAGAAACATCGATGCTGCGTTTCTGTTGTTCCAAGATATTGGTGTAGAACTCATCCGTAAAGCAACGACCAGTGCGAGAGGCCGTCGGCCAGATTGTTCCCAGAACAGAGCCGGCTCCCGCACACAACAACGCCGTGACTATACCCAGGGGCTCATCACCAGCCGCAATGCCCTGCGACGCCGAGTCGCAGGCTACCAGGGTCATGTGAGGCGCCTTGAGCTTCAGGTCAAAGACGTCTCGCACTGCAATGTTGCCGTCGGCAAGCTCCAGGCTTTGGTCGGCCAGGATGCTGCGGTCAAAGATACCGTGGCCGTGAAAGTGGAACAGAGCTGACTGTTGCATCGCTTCGACGAAGAACTGCCTCGTGACGTCGGTCCCCGTCACCGCCTTGGCATCGGACGTTGCAGCTGTGTTTGAAATGAGAGAGTATACGTCCTCTTGTTCCTCAGGGTCGAACCATCTGTCATCAGACTCTTGGAGCACACTCGTGAGGGTCCATTGCGTAGCGACTGATGCTGCTGGCCTCTGTCCCGAATCAACCTCCGACCAACCACCCCGCCGGCAGCATTGCGAAAAGGTGGTCAGACTCGCACTGTAGATGACTGGGTTCCGCTCGATAACGGGGACGTTGTCCGAGATGTACAAGGCATGTAGGGGTATCGAGTGAAGCACACCAGTCGGGCAGAGAACGACGAGATCCCCGGGCTTGGTCAACTGGTCGAGAGGTGCGACCAGGCCGTCGAGAGCACGTAAACTGAACTCGGGCTCGTATTCAGAGTAGAAGTCGTCCTCTTGGAAGGCGGACACTTGTCCAGGCTGCGCATCGAGCCACTCTCGCTTCCAAGCTGCCACCTCGTCAGGCGAGACTGGACATTGCATGACGGTAGGCGTCTTTTCCTCGCCTCCCAGAACCAATACCCAGAGCTTGTTGGAGTGCTCGAGCCAGTCGATGAATTTCACGTCTCTACCAGGAGAACACTTCTTCATCTGGCTTCCCAGCTGCTGGATCTGGTCGATTCCGACTGGTGTCCCATTCTTGATATCCATCATAGCCTTGAGCAGAGTGTCTTGAGCCATCCGCTTATGAATAGCCTCAAGCTCGCCGCGAAGCCTAAGACGAACCTCGGGGGGGCTCCCGGCGATCCGGGGCGAGAGCGCATCCGCCTCCTCCATCAGCTCCCTCCTGGTTGGATCTTGGATGACCTGTTCGCGAAGCTCCGCAGGGACGAGGCTGTCAACGCCTAGCTGATCTGACAAGCTGCGCGCTTTGGCTTTCTGGGTCCATTCCCATAGCTCAGTCACGCGACCCTCTATTTGGCAAACCCGGAACGCGCGTCGGTACGTCTCCCTCAAGCCCTTGAGGGAGGTGAACTGTTGTCGGCGAGACACAGCCTCAAAGCTGGCCAAGGCTGTCATGTCAGCCCTTTCAACCGCCCACGCATTCTCGGCATCTTGAAGCGCCGTGAGGGTCTTGTCCCCTACCATCCATCCGCGTTCCCAACCGGTGTATACGACGATCGACCGCCAGCGACTTGCCGTGGCGATGAAGGTGACGTTGTCTGCCTCCCTGAACAGATCAAGGGATATGTCGATGAGGTCGAGGCAGCGCTGCAGGAGATGGGCAGAGGGCGAAAGCTCAAACCAGCGGTAAATCGCACAGCTTTGCATCTGGCGCGTATTGGCAGCCTCTACAAACCGTAAGTGCTTCATATACAGAGCCACTGATTTGTCAAAGCAAGCCAGACACGGCTCCCACGCCTTGGGGTCAGTCTCTTTCATGGGCAGCGTAAGCTCCATCCCTTGCACTTGGAATAGGCCGGCCATGCGAATGTCTCCATCTTCCGAGTCGGATTCCAACTCATTGACAAAAGTCAACATTCTCTCCATCCAGTACCGTCTTTGCTCGGTTTGGAGAGTCCTTATCTGAACAACGATCATCTCCGTTTTCTGTGCCGCCTGGAGAGTCAACCCAGCGGCTCTGTCTCGCGTCGTCTCGGTATCGGCAAAGGAAAGGATTTCTTCCAAGTCTTTTGGGTCCGAGTTGTTTTGCTGGTACAGTTCGAGCTTTGCCTGTAGGAGAGCGTTGCGGGCTGTAGCTGCGTCGCTGGGAAACGTCTCTTGAAAGATCTCGACTGCCCTGGCTGCCCGATCGTGCGCCTTGCGATAATCATGCAGCTGAGAGTATGCTTGGGATGCAAGGTACGGCGCGATGCCCCTCAGCCACCTGCAATCTCCCTCTCTAAGCGTGGTGTCGAGAGCCTCAGCTGCCTCAACGGCACTGGCGGCCTTGCCGGAGTGGGCGAGCCACATACTTATCAGACCCACGCGGCCAATATGGGTCAGAAACACTGCTCCTGCTTGATGTGCTAACTCATCTCTGATGTGGGACAGCGACATCTGTAGCTCGAAGGCAAGCCATTGTGGGATATGGGCAAGGAACGCGTGGATGGCTGTCTGATATGACGCCATGGAATCACCGGTCTGGTACTTGGCAAAGTAGCCCTTCAACTCGTCGAGCAGCTCGTCCGTCAGACATTGATGATCCTTCTTGAGGGCTCGGCTGAGTTGCTGGAACCTAAGATCCATCACCCCCACGGCGTGGCCTTGATCAATGTAAATAGTTTTTGCCGACGTTTCTATTTCGGCAAGGTAAGCTTCGTCAAGCCTCTCGCTGGCCTTGTCTGCAAGAAGAACCATTGCGTTTGCCTTGAAGAGTGGGGGAAGATCCGGTGAACTGAGGAAGCGTTGCATCATCCCGGACCAGGTTTCAAAGTCCAAAGTCGTGATGCCCACTCTCGTAGCGGATTCCAAGAATGCGCTATAAGCCTGCAAAATCTCAAAGGATTCCCGGTGGCGGCTCGCAGAGACCAGCCTGTCGTAGGTGGGCCGCAGCCAGGAGATTAGAGCTTCGAGCTCGGCAGGGGCAATAGGTTGATGGTGAAGGCATGATAAAACACGCATCCTGGAATAGCACAGAGCAATCTCAATCTGTTGTTGGAGAAGCAGTCAGTATTCTTCCAAATCAATAGGGTAGACTGATGGGACAGGACTCACGGTTGTCGGCTCGAGCTCTTCGAGAGCCGCAAAGTCTGAAGTCTGGAGACGCAGCTCTTCTGCTTCCTGGAGGGGTGCATCAAAGGAAGCAGTGACTAATAGCTTGAGCCTGCAGACTTCTATCCTCATTTGGATGCCCAGTCGCTCTTCTCTGGTTGTTGCTGTACCAACAGGGCCGGGGAGGTTGTCCAACTCGTCGAGGAGGACTGTCAGGGCATCTCGCCAATAGCCCTGAGTTTTGATGACTCTTGAGAGTTCCAGCACGGGTTCAAGGCGATCAGATGCCGTCTTGAGAAAATCGCGCAACAGTGCCGCGGCCTCTTTGTACTCGGCTCTGTCGGCGTGAAAGCGGCTTCGCGCGAGGGCATCCGGCCAAGTCGCCATCGCTTGGGTCCAGTGGTTGAGTTTTGACGAGGGTGATACCGAGGAGGAGTTGATGGGCATGTGCTCGGCGACACGTGTTCATCATGAAGGTTGCCCCTTGCAGGTTCATCAAAAGAACCAATAGCGAGGCGGCCTCCTCAGCCTGATTGTGAATGTGCAATGCAGCCCGATTCCACGTGAGCCAACGCCGAATGGCCAATCCCGGCTGTACCGGAGAGCGCGGGGTAAGAACACAACCACCTTGATATCCCCCGTCTGGAGCATCCTGTGGTGTACTCAGTATGGAATTGACCGAGTCGGCGGCATTGGAGAGTCGATATTGTCAGTTCGAATTCGACGGCGGCTCCGGCAACTTGGGTCAGCGCAACCAGAATGACACGGATACTAGGACTAAAATCACGCATATCGAGCTCTTCGGCAATGGCATCATCGGTACCGTCGTGTCTCTGGCGTACGGAACTTGGCAAGGACAGCCTGCAGCGCTCTTGGTGCTTCTTTTCAGCCTGCGCGGACGTGAGAATGGCTATTTGCGCGTGAGAAGAGCTCAAATCTCCATCACGTTCAGATCCCGAACACCCGGCGACAGTTATCCCGTCGTCCGATTAATCCAACCCAGTAGCAAGCGCGTGCCTGACTCGGGAGCAGCTGGAACCCCTAATGGGGCTCCCGATGTCAGGGCTTCGAGCCCATTTGCCCCGTGGACCCAGGGCCCTTTTGCTATTAAAGCTTCTCCCTGGTCTGAGAAGTCGCAGTCGGAGCTGCACCAGGTCTTGATGGAGCTCGCATTGCCACGTGGATCCCCGCCGAACATCTGCGAGTCGATCCCTGTGGCAACCGTCCTGACATTCTCCAGCCCGTTCGTGGCATTTGTCAAAGCCGAAGCTGATCTTCCTGCTCCAATCCGCAAGCTCAGAGCCTTCCCTTGGTCCAAGGATGACCCTGTGCTGTTCGATGGCATTACTCCCAAGGGCAGGGGAGTTGCCAGCACCGATTTTTCGAGGCTGGGAGACTCTGGTCTGGAAGAGTTTATGATGGACTGTCTGGGCCCTTTATCGACCCGAGACCGCGTCCCAATCTCCTCGACAGCTGGATCCTATACTTCTACCGAAGGAAGAATCAACAAGCCACTTGCGTCGAAGCCATCACGCCAAGTATACCGAGTTCACGGCATTCCTTCCTCATGCTCCAGTGACACCTTTGTTCGGTTGCTGTCGCTCGCCTTATCCGTACCGGATGTCGCTATCCACATCAAAGCCTTTTCGACGCATCACCATCTGGAAGAGAATGTGGCAGTCGTATCGTTTGACTCTGAACCAGCCGAGTTAAAACTCTCATCGCCAAATGGGCGCTGGCACTTCACTCTCCCATCCCAGCTCTGGCTACCAGCACAAGGTTCCTCAGCATCAAAGGGCGCTGCTGATAACGACCCCGTGAAGGAGAAAGACGTCGATTTGCACTTTGACACCGACTTCCACGGCTTCACGCAAATTGGAATGAATCTCGATGCTCATTTGAGCGCCAACGTCGAGTAAGTCATACATAACCCCGTTGCAGCGTAAATTTGCTGACTTGCGGGACTTGGCGTAGCATCATCGCCATTCATGGACTGGGTGGACATGCTTTTGGGTCCTTCAAACAACGAGGTGGCCACTACATGTGGCTTCAAGAGACTCTCGAGTCTGATCTCGTCAAGATTCGAGAGTTTGGACAGCACATCCGACCAAGGATCCTTATTTACGGCTACGATGCTCGTGTTGATAAGAGCCAGACCTTCCAGAGCATGGAAGACCTGGCAATTGAACTCAGAATGCAGCTTCAAGGGATACGGCAAAGACATCCAACTAGACCTCTCATCTTCATCGGCCATAGCCTGGGCGGTTTATTGATCAAGGAGCTTCTCATCCAGTGTGCCGAACCAGAAGCCAATGCCACGGAATCAGCCATCCTCGAAGCGACAATAGGAGCATTGTTCTTCGGCGTTCCTAACAAGGGGATGGACGTCACCGCCCTCCTTTCCATCATTGGAAGCCAGCCAAACTCGGAGTTCCTCACTTCATTGGGTGTCGGCTCTCCTGTCCTAGCCAAGCAAGCCGAGTTATTCCCCAGGAGCTTTCGCTCTGACCAGGCTATCATTTACTCGTTCTATGAAACGTGCCTTTCCAACACGGCAGAGAGAGTATGTTGCTCCCCGCCCCCAATATGAGTCAACCTGTCGAGATATGGCTGCGCATTAACACATAGCGTCGAGCAGGTCAATGGGAAACTGAGCTTGACAGGCGACCGCGTCGTGCTTGTCGATAAGGAATCTGCCACGCACAGTCGCCCGTGGGAAATGAACAAACACTTCATCATTCCCATTCAGCGTTCGCACGCTGACTTGGTCAAGTTCAACAAGTACAGCCCGGATTATGAGACAATACGCAATTGCATCGTAGACATTCTTGCCAGACAATTTGGACGTCGGCAATAGTCACATAGCTCTAGTCCTAGGTACTTGGGAATGGGTATTTCACGTGGAGAGGCTCATGAGCGGTCACATTACTTGATCATCAACTTTTGATTGGTGAAGCAGGCCATGGCCTACCGTGGCTCAGACAACCCAAGCCCCCTCACTCTTTCATCGCTGGAAGGCTAGGAGGTTTTGTCGAATCATAGTGGCGGATACCTATGACAGTGCAGTAACCTGCAGGCTAACCGAGGCCTCCCGCCACGCCCCAAAAAGAGGTCAGATGATGCCTCGCTTCCTTTCAACCCCATTCTCTCCTGCTCACCAACAATGGGCCACCGTACTCAGCGCTTGGCTTGAACGACATGAACTCATTTGTCTTACTTTTGCTATCATCATGATGGGTCCAGGACCTTGTCCACCACCCTTCGCCTTGGAGGACCAGCTAACGCGGGAGCTAGACCGACCAGCGCGCTACGTGCCTGGGCATCCTCAAGTGCCACTCCGGTTTAAGGCCGTCCAAGACTTGCTCGCCAGCGACCTCTGCTCCGACGACATGGATCGAGTTGCTATATATCCTTATTGTTTGTCCCAATTTCACTGAAAGAGGAAACCCCTGTCGGTGTTTAAGCCTGTGATTGGTCGGACAGAGAGACCAGAGTGGGGTGAGCTAGATAGCCTCTTTCAGTCTAAGCGAAGACCACTGTAGGGCTGGGAAGTACCAGCGGCAGTGTTGAAGTATAAGCCTTAACAGTCTTCTGGGGGGTAGCCCTTTTTTGTTTTATCAAGCAGTAAACTATGTGGGGTAAGCGATATAGCGCCGGCAAGGGTAAAGAAAGAGTTAAGTTAAGTGAAAGAGAATCTTATTAAAAGAGGCGAAGGTGATTAGTAAGAAAGAAATAGCTAGTAGTAGAAAAGGAAAGTTTAATAGGAGAGATTTCTCTAAGAGAGATACTTAGGAAATAAGAAAAGAAAATAGAAAAACAGCTAGGAAAAGTTAAAAATAAAAGGGGATAGAAAGAGATAAGAAGATAGAGATAAAGAGAGGTATTATATAGTGCAATAGAGCTAGGTGGCCTAAAACCCTTTGTATTACTGATTAGTTTAGGCAGTTTCTTAAGCTCTTAGGGGAAAGAGAAAATAACCTTAGTTTATTAATATTTTCTGTTTTAATATAAACCCTGCTAAAGGCTTAAAAGCGGTTAGCTTGACTAGCTGCCTGCAGCTATAATAGCCTGTTTAATGGGATAAGTAAGGCAGACTTAGATATATACTAGCCTATATATAGGGAAGCTAACTGCCTAACTAGTACATAGGACGTCTAGGTATGCAGTGATGTTTATAATAATTAATTAATATAGGCCAGCAAATTGATATAATGGGAGTGAGTAGGCAATTATTAGCTATTATGCGTTCCTTAGTTGTAATTAGGGTAATAGGCTTATCTGCCTACTATATTAGCATAAAGCTCTTAGGCATACTGCCCTGCTTTGCAGAGATTGCTAAGTCCTGGTAAGATGATTTGTATTACTAATTCACCCTTAAAGAAGTAAACCTCCTATTATATTATAGGTATTAACTATAACTAAACTTTCTCTCTTACCTTATAATAAATACTAATAAGTTACTTTATATATAGTAATAGATAAAGTGGATAAACTTATAAGATATAGTAGTTTTTTAATTTAATTTTACTTAAAAGTTTTTAAATTATTACTATCTAGAATTTAAACCTGTAGTAATGCTAATATAATTAGGCATTTTATTAGCCCTATTATATATTATTACTATTAAGGTAAGGTGGCTATTTATAAGTTTGTAGGGGTATCTTACTAATTGTTATACTTAAAGAGGCCTGAGTGTTAATTATTAACTGTTAACTAAATGACCTTTTTTATATTTTAAGTAATATAATCTGATTTAGAATAGGGTCTGGGAAAGGGAGGCAATTTCGTTGTTACAGCCTGATGGATCTTAGCATTCTCAATAAGACAATTATTAAGTAGGACTCTGATCACAACAGCGTGTCTGCAATTACTAACTAAAGAGATTATATTTATAAGAATAAGTTCTTTATAAATTCTAGCCTTAGCTAGTAAGGAGGTATACTAAAGAGGATTATATAATTATAATTTAATTATTAAAACCTAGTATATTAGCTATAATGCTATTAATTATAACTTAAGTAGATATATATAATTAAGTCTATATATAATTTCCTATTATAAAGGATAATTTCTACTTTACTAAGTAAAGATAACCTTTAAATCTGCTTTAGAATTATAATTATTATAATAGTTAAATAATAAGTATACCTCTTAAATATACTTTTTAGTAATTCTAATTATAAGCTAGTGTCATAGGTCAGGCTTAGGAATATAGGTAAACAGGGAACGCTTTAGGCAGATAGGATTTATTACTATAGATAGGCACTGCTAGCAGGTTAAGCTCTATTAATAACACATAGCTTGAGGAGCTATGTTTAGGAGCTATCTGGCAGTTAGTTAAGATCTTCTGTAATAATATATTGCCATATAACTAAGATCTACTTGGCCTATCGGTCTAGGGTAACCTGGTCTGGTTTTACGCTATGATAGCTAGTAGTATATTTAAATACTAATTTTATAGTTTTAAAACTAGTAGTACTTAAATAATATATAATAATAAAATATAATAGAGTTATAAATACTATTATAAACCTCTTTTATATTATAAAATCCCTTTTGTAAAAATACTATTAGCTTTAAATAACCCTAATATATATAATAAGTAAGTATACTAACTAAGTAAGTATACTAGAAATTCCTACTATTAAGATAAAAGAGAGCTTAAAATCACAGTAAAGCATCTAAGTAATTAAAACTAATAACTATACTCTTCTTTAGATATTTATATAACTATCTAATATATTCTTATATTATATCCAGTCTTTCTATAGGTTTTATAACGCCTTTCTCTTACCAGCTTTAACCTTCCCTAACTACTACTTCTTAATAATTTAGCTACTATTTATATATTAATGTCTTTCTAATTAATTATATCTCTACCCTTACTTATAGTTATTTTTTTTTTTTATAGGCAGCTTTTTTTTACTTTATGCCTTTTATTAAGAGTCTTATTTACCTATTAAAGGATTTAATTCTTAAACTTTAATAATACTATCTAACATATTATTACCTTTATTCCCTTAGAAAATAACTTAAGTATATTAATAATAAATACTAAAGAGTTATCCTAGTGCCTTCTAATTTGCCTTTTAAGGTATTTAAATTAAGAAGTAGCCTTAAGGATAGTCTTTAATATCTTAAACACCTAAAGGTCAAGAAGGCTAGTATTATAACCCTAGCGGTTATATTATATATACCTTATAAAAAACTTATATAAGGCATTAATGCCTTAATAGCTATAGGCTAATTAGAGCTAGATTACCTTATAAATAGGATTATAATACTTTAGGAATTACTATAATCTAAGATTATTATAATTTAACTACCTTAGTAATCCTCTTAGATTACTTCTAATATATAAATTATATTTATTAGTACTTAAATAAAACTTAGCTTACTAGCTATTAATAAGACTTCTTTATATTAATAAGCCTAATATATATTACTTAATTATTAAGAGATATAATAACTAAATCCGCTTAATATTAATATCTTATATTATCTGTAAATATAAACCTAGTATGGATTAGTTTTCCTATTTAAAACTATATTTATTATATATTAATAACTCTTATTTAGAATATATTATATTAAACAACTAAGTAATATTATACTATTAAGATATCTAATAACCCTAACACCAGACTAGCACCTCCTTATACTAAAGCACTACCTAGTAATACTAAGATTACAGCTAAAATCCAGTAGCTCTGTAATACTATTTATACCCTATAGACATAAGTTAATAAATAGTAGAATACTACACCTATTAACATTAGTATAGAGGAACTATAAGGAAAAGATATTAAAGAAGCACTAAAGCCACCTAAACCAGAACTATTTACCAGGAAAGCAGCTAATATAATTCTATTCCTAACCTAAATAAAAGTATATTTCCGCTTATTTCTAAACCAACTAAATACTGCCATTAAGAAAGTATTATATACCTTACTACTAATCTAAGGAGATGCTAAAGATTAATAGGAACCTATTATAAGAGACTTTTTTAAAAATAAGAAACCTACTTAGGAATAAGATATATAAAATATCTTTATAGATTAGGATAATTTTAAATAAGCCCTTAAAGATAATTTCAAAGTAATAAATAAAAAACAATAAGCCGCAGCTAAGTTACTTATACTTAAGTAATATAAATCCTATGCAGCCTACTTCGCCAAATTTCAATAGCTTATATCTAAGACTAAATAGGATAATAAAGCACTAATAAAAATCTACTATAGAGGATTAAAAAAAAAAGTCAAGGATAAATTAT